TAAGCAAACATATTTTACGTAGCACTAGTCTTGTTTAAATCCTTCATGTCTGAGAATTCGTTTTCAACAGGATAAACATATATATAAGCATTCCTACGTCTTAGGAAATGAATCCATTTCTTGAACACTGAAATGCTTTCCACCTTTAGGTTATTTCTGATTATCATCAAATGATCTTATTGGCTCAGTTTGATCAACAGTAGCTGAGCTATTCCTATGTTTATCCTACCGACCACTTATTGAGTTTAATTTCTTAACGCTAGAAATATTTTATATATAGCAGTGCGCATCCACGACCCATGCACCTCGTTGGATTCCTATAATACTAACAACGATTTATTATAAATAAAGTTTTGAATTTTTCAATGTTATGTTTTATGAAAATAGAATACAATGCGCCAACTCTCAATCTCAATGACCAAAAGTCCATCGAACATTGCAATATATAATCTTTTATTCACAGAGACCTTGACAATATTATACACCTGTAATTAATGATACCCGATATAACAGTCATATATACAAGCTTTTTTTAAGACATTAGAATTTATTTTCAATTCGAACATAGGTAGTACAAACAATTCAGATTAATGAGATAAACTGTGAACGACCAAACTAAACTAAAAATCATAAATAAAGCTTTTTCATTAAAAATACATATAAGTTCAGATTGAACTCATGAGTTAATATGGAGAATTTGCTTTTTACAGTTCATCAGTTAATTATCACTACACCTATTTTAGAAAAAGACTTCTCTAACAAGATGTAATGATCTTTTTGTAAAGGGCAAATTACGTACCGGAAATTATCATCCAGTTGGTCATATGTAACATGCAACCTAACACACCTAAACATCTGTTCAGGTCCCCTAAACCATGTTAACACTGCAAGATGAAAATTTCAGGATAAATCCCAAAACAATATCAGTAGCACAAGAAAACATCAGGTATCGGAGAAAATAGAGTTATTAGAAGAATATTTAACTCCGGATTTAAGAGAAAACGAACAATGAATTTACCCGTCTCATTGCAATCGGTTCTTAGTTATGTAACACAACGTTTCCAACTACTAGTTACGGCATTCGCACAGACCTCAATCAAGTGATATGCACTTACATAAACGTTTCGGTCAAACGACTGATGACTGATGTCATGTTTTGATTTGACTATCCCTATCTTTCTAGAATACTCCTACACCATAAAGCCTCACGTCAAGATATTCAGAGTTTGGGAACATTTAATGCATGTTCCAACCAATTTACCTAGTAACCTATCGCGAAACTCATCGTTGTTCCCTTGGCGTTTCCAACTTATATGAACGATGCGTCCAATGCTAGTAACCTACGAATAGCACTCATAAAGTAAGACAAAAAGAACTACAATTCAGTACACTAGACCTTTAACTGATAGTTGGGGATATCTCACATATATCACAAGTGATGCAAGCTGGTAAAGGCTAATTAGTGTGTCTGTTGTATTCATCCCGATATTTCATCAAACACCAACCGTGTAGAGCTGATGAGGTTTCCACGATAAATGAAATGGTTAACGCACTCAACTATGTCACTGACAATAACATAGACCAGTTCTGAAGGAAAATATTGCATTCTTATCTATCAATATTTCTAATTATGACAAAGTGCTTCTTGTGTTTCTTGTATCTGAACTTTTTTTGACTAATTTCTTTTATTCACACTGATCATAATTCAATTATCCTAATGATTTAAAAAACGTTGATAGTTTAACCCATAAATTAATATCAGTTGGAGAATTGTTAGAACAAATATTGTAATAAATATTACTTCAGCTTTCTATTAAAACATGTAACTTATAGGAAAAACAAACGTAGTCCAGTAATTTCATCCACTACATTTTCTATTCACTTCATAAATCTCTTATAATTTAATATTTATATTTGTAATATGAAATAGAAACATTCTCATTATTAATATTATTATTATTTTCCATTTTGTTTATTATTTCAAAACGTCATTCAATATTCATTCAAAGTACTTAGTGTTTTGTTGACCGAGTTTGTATCAGCTTTTCTCTTTATCATGTTCTGCATATGTTTTTTTCATAAAATAGTGTGAAAAACATATACAATGTGGTTGAATTAGCATTTCTTTGTTATTCAACATGTATATATATACACAAACAAATTATTCTCCAGCACTACGGATACTTTTTTTTTAAGAGTAGAATTGTATTCTTTAGACATTTTATGCTCTATATCGAAAAAATACATATATAAATATATATGTATATAACTTTATCAAGTTTCATTTAGGACACCAATCAATAAACAAATGTTGTGTACATGTAATTATGGAAACCTCTTGCTTGTTTTTTTTAATTATTGACCAAGTTCACAGTCCAGGCACCAAGAATTTTTTTTTCTACCTCCGAACCAATCAGAAATGTTGTTCAAAATACATAAATGATATCTCATTCCATATTTCTTTCACTTATCATAATTTATATTTCATTATGTAAAATGATGTTTATTATGACAGAGCATTGAAAAAAACTACCACACACATACGCGCACAAACACACCACACACTATGGATAATTCAAATAATTCCGAAAAATATCAAACCATTTCAACATCTAATCATCAAAAAGCGAAACGTTTAAAAATATTACAAGAACTTGAAGATCGTAAACTTCAATTAAATCATAATCGATTGTCAAAAGAACAAAATAAAATTTGTAAACAACTTGATTTTCAACGTTCACAATTTACTCGAAGATTTTCTGAATCAAATTTTAATTTATCTAATGAAGAATTATCACCGAAATTATCAAAAAAAATTGAAAATGTAACATTTGATTCAAAGAAATTAAAACAACTTAAACATCAACATTCATTACTAACTGATGAGAATTTAAAGTCTTATTGTCGTTTATATTCACATGATGATAATAATAATCATGATGACGATATTGGAAAAACCAGTACAAATCAACCATTTTGGTTACGATTACGTTCTTTAGGTGTTCCATCAGATGAAGATACATTGTTAGCTGCATTAACTTGTAAAAATATGAATATTGATGAGAAAGAGGCACCAGATGTTGATGATGCTGAAGATGATGTATTTGAATCGGTTTCTAAACCCTCGATTGTAAATCGTCATTCAACAGGAAGAATATCAAGAAATTTATTAAAACAACGTTCAACTAGTCTAACAGGAGCTGATGAAACATTTGAAAATTTATTAAATAACAATAATAATATTAGTAATAATACTAATAATGAAAAACGAATTAAACGTTCATTAAGTTTAGAAGATAAAAAACCTGATTGGTTATTAGCATTAAATCGAATGAAACGTGAGAAATTATCTCGTCTTAATTCAAATGCACAAGAAGAAATAACAGCATTAGTAAGCGGTAATAAATTCTATGGTACTAAACGACCGAATGTACTCACTGTGAAATATCAATCACGTAAAGATCGTCTTATGAAATCACATAGACATACTGTTGTTGGCATAACACATGAATTTGCACCAATATAACATATATATCATACATACTGAGAGAGAGAGAGAGTGAGAGGAAAGTGATAGTCAGTGTTTTCAATGGATTCATATTTCGCTAAATACATTTGATTGTTTTCTTGTAATATTTACATTTCATAAATTGTAGCAAGTTTCTTCTGTTAAACATACATATATTCGCCCCAATTTTCATTTTATTCAATGGAATCTAACATATATATATATATATATATATATATATATATATATATATATATCTGTATGTAGATGAATTAAAAGATTGGATTTTTGCATAAACTTTTATACTCTTTAATAATTAACTATCTCTATCAGATGTCATTGTAATAATGAATATAAATTTGGTTGTATTTGTTGTTTAGTTTAGTTTCATATAAACTCAATAATGCTAGTCATTGATACAGCTGAGTACTATCGTGTACACTTGTATAGACATGTTTTATTTTCATGATGTAGACAGGAATCCAATATTTCGGTAGACAATTATAGTAGTTTAGTAATGTTTGCTATTGTCAAAACCTAATATGAATTGAATAACTATTGAAAACTAAATAAAATTTAAGATTTATTCTTAAAGCTAAACTAATATATATCAGATTATAATTACAATGAGGATTTGAATTCCAGAACTATTTTCAAATATCATCAGTTTGTGAATGAGTATCAATTAT